CTGTCTTCCCTCTATCCCTGCAGATCCCTTATCTTTCATCCACTCCTCTGCTTCCCAGCTGGGAGACCCAATAGAAAACAAAATCTCACTAAGGTGGTAAGGGTGGAAACATAATAGTATAAAGACAAAAACACTTTATAATGTGTGAGAAGGAAAAGACCCCCAACAATTAAAAAAGCCAGGCAAGAAATTTCGGTTATGGAACCAGTAAGAGATACTTGCACCCAGAATAGATTCAGGTCGGGTCTCTAGGGAGGTCAACTGGCCACGTATGGAGATCCAGCCTAGTCAAGGGGACAGTGGTCTATCTCAGCTTGATCTTCAGGTTGTTCCAGAGTCTTGCCTGTGGTTACAGCAGGTCTGCCAGTGGCTCAGTCTGACCAGACACTCTGCAGGTGGATTAGGGGCTCTCACCATTGAACCCCATAGCCTTCCACACCTAATTTGTGCTCTGATGCCTTTTCTCCTCACTATAGTCCTGGTTTGTCATGGTCACCTTTGGCCCCCACCAGCTGGTGTGCTTCTGTGTGGACTTAGCGGACTCCCATCCTAAGGGAGCTATTCTACACGCTCCATGTGTCCCCTTCAACTGCGTCCCGCATCAGGGCATCTCCGGTCATGACCACAGGCACAGAAAGAACTGCCTGTTCATCTCTTGTTCCCCAACAAGCCACTGTCTTTGCACCAACAATAAACCCAAGCCGTTGCCCCAATTGAATTGTTGCTTCTCACTCAGGGCCACCGCCATGCGTGCTTCTGAGGGGAACAGCCCCACCGGGATTCGTCGTGGTCCTGAAGGGTTGTTATTTTGCTGAGGCAGCAGAACACCAGGTCTAACCTCCCACAGAGTGGCTGGTGATTTCAAATGACTGACCTTTGGGTTGACAGCAGCCAAGGGCTTAACCCCTGCACTCACTGCCTCGGTCACCAGGATAGGGGGAACCATCTACATCATGCATCTGATGGGGAGGTGGAGCATCTTGTCAGGAGTGGAAGGCTGGTGGGGTCCCTATGTCCGCTGCACAGTGTACTTGGCCTATTTCTCCCCTGGGACCTGGACTCCCACAGTTGGCTAACCATCTCCTTGGAGACCCACCTCCATCACTGTTCACAGGACATTGTTTTCAGATACGCTGGGATTCCCGCATCCCCTTGACTTACCTGCAGTTTGAAGTTCTCACTTCCGATGTGAACAAAATGAGCCGAGACCGAAAGGGCTGCTTAGCTGTGCAGTGTGCTCAGCTGACTTTATATATATATATTTTATATCTATCTATATCTATCTATCTATCTATAAAATATATATCTATATATATATATTTAAACACACATGCACGGCTGATTGCACAACTCGTTTGTTGTGGTTGCTTGAGATGAATTTGTCACTGAAGACTCCAAGTCCATTTCAATGTGACTTTTCCTCATCTTTCTTTTTTTTTTCTTACCTCATTCAAACCCCTCTCTTGGTTTGAGGGATAAGAAATCTGGAGGGCGGGTTGGCAGTTGTTTTTTAAAGAAACATAAAATGTTTTTAATATGACATGTTTCATGAATTTGCGTGTCATCCTTGTGCAGGGGCCATGCTAATCTTCTTTGTATCGTTCCAATTTTTTACTAGATGTGCCACCGAAGCATGCACCCAAAAATATTTTAAATAATCAATAGGAAACATTCCAGCCCAAGAAATGCAATCGACAACATCTTGTTAGACCCTCCTTTATTCTTTTTTCTTCACCTCTTCTTGATAGGATGAAACTATGGAATCATGTGATATTTGAGTTCTAGGCCAATAAAACACATTTTTTAAAAATTGGGAGCTTTTTTTTTAATGCACACTTGATTTCCCAACTCATAATGACCCCATCTATATAATGCTTTTTCTTCAAGGAAACAAATTTATTAAATCTAACAGCAGGTAACCTTCTCCATGTAAAAACATCCAAAGGAAAAAATGTAGACATCGAAGACCAAAAAAAGTGCGTAGCAAGTTAATAAAAATATGTAAATGGTCGTTTGAAGAGTGCAAGCAGGAAGTGAATACAAATAAAAGTATTGACTTCTATCAACATGTTTTGTACAACCTCAAGCAATGGACACGCTGGTTACAACTAGGAACCACCATGGGGCCACATGAGTAGGAGGGGCTCAGCCCCTCAGCCAGGGTTAAGGCAGGCTACCTGTAAGACCAATTCATCCAAGCCCATTTGCCTACTGCTTCCAATTCCCCTTTTAAACCTAGAATCAGATTCATGATTGCAACAGGTAAGGACAATGACATAATCACAGATTCAGGGGCGTGAGGATCCAGGGTCAGAGAAAAACTTCCCCAGAGCAGGTAATGAGTGTTAGGGGGGGAGGGGGGGGACATTCTAGACAATGTTTCTGAGACATTGAATCTTTAAGGGAGCAGACTGCCTCATCTTTCCCCAATGCAGCAGCTGGTGGGTTTGAACCCCTGACCCTACAGTTAGCAGCCAAACAATACCTAGAAGGTAACCCACAGTGCCACTATGTCCTCTGACTGTGATCCCATCCAGGGCCATGGAGTCAAACCTGACTCAGAGTGACCCTATAGGACAGAGTAGAACTGCCCCGGAGGCTTTCCAAGGCTGTAAGTCTTCAAGGGGGCAGAAAGCCTCTTCTTCCCCTCAAGGGTCAACTGGTGGGTTTGAACGACTGATGCCTTGGTTCACAGCCCAGTGTACAACCCACTGTACCATCAGGGGTCCTTACTTCGAACCTCTCAGCCATTGGCCACTCTGGGGCCCAGTTCTGCATTGCTCCAAACGGCCTGCTATGGAATCCATTGGAACTCACAGCAACCCTGCGGGGCAGCACAGAATGCCCCGTGGGTTTTCTGAGGCTGTAAATCTTTACAGAAGTAGAAAGCCTCATCAAAAATAATAATAATAATTAGGGTGAAGGCATTTTCTTTTTTCCACACAGAGTAGACAAGGACAGAAAAATCCCCAGGTGCGGGACTGTGGGATTCAAGGGGGGCATCGTGGGATAGTAAACCCTAGTGTTGTTACTCTGAGGTGAGCCTCTTCAGCGGCAACAAACCCAAAACAACCCAATTCATTGTCACGGAGTCCATGCTGACTCATCTGGACCCTATAAAACAGGGTAGACCTGCTCCTGTGAGTTTCTGAGACCGCAACTCTTTTCTTTCATTCTTTAAAAAAAATCAGTTTATTGGGGGCTTGTAAAACTCACCACAATCCATCCATCCTTCCATTGTGTCAATGACATTTGTACATTTGTTGCCATCATCATTCTCAAATGTTTTTTCTCCTTGAGCCCTTGGTATCAGCTCCTCATTTTCCTCCTTCCCTCATGAACCCTTGATCATTTATAAATTATTATTATGTTGTCATGTCTTACACTGTCTGACATCTCCCTTCACCCACTTTCCTGTTGTCTGTCCCCCAGGGAGGGGGTTATATGTAGATC